CTACATTTATAGGGTTTAGGAGGATTCACAGAGTAACCAATTAGAAGTCTCAAGGGGCTTACAGGAACACCCAATCACAGGAAGGCATTAACAAAGGCCAATGGGAAACACCTCAGGACACCTTCCCAGGACATTCCTGCATGGATAACACTTGTTGTGGGGGGTACTGGGAAGAAGAAGCATGTGTTTGCAAAGAGACCACCAAAAGCCATTTTAAGACATGTTTAAACAACAGTTTTTCCCATATAATGCAGGTTTAGTGCTACATTATCCCTCTCTACAACTACCTGAAAGGAGATTGTGACTATGTAGGGGTCAGCCTCTTCAGCAGGCAACTGCTGATAGGACAAGGGGAATGGCCTCAAGTTGCTCAAGGTGAGGTTCAGGTTGGATATTAGGAAAAATTTCTTCACTGAAAGAGTGGTTAAGCATTGGAACATGCTCCCCAGGGAAGTGGTAGAGTCAACATTCCCAGAAGTGTTCAAAATACGAGTAGACATGGCACTTTGCTATATGGTTTGGTGGGCATGGTGGTGTTTGGTCAAAGGTTGGACTTGATGATCTTGGAGGTCTTTTGCTACCTTAATGAGTCTATGATTCCATGATCTGCGTGAGAAGTATTGGAACTGAATGTTCAACCATCAACACAGTAGAAACTTTTGTCTGATCACAAAGCTGTGCTCACAAGCAGGGTTACACTCACATCCTTGCAGCAAGGTTGGAGACTGAATGGACTACAGAGCCTGCGCTATGTTCTAACACTTTTAGACACAGCCTCCTTCAAAATGGATCTAGTAATGGGAACTTTGTGCTATAACTAATACATGAATCTAAACTTTGGCACCAATCTTCAAAGATACTTTGTCACCTAACAACTACAGAAATCAATGGAAACTGGCTACCTAAATAGCAATTAAGTGTGCATGTGTATCTTAGGATCTGTGCCTTTGATCTCAAAATCTGTCAGTCTAGCTCATTACAAGCTGTACATTTACTTTAAAAAATATGTGAGTTATGAATTAAGGATAAGATTAATTAATAGTGGCATTAACTGTAGCAAAGCAGAGACAGATTGTCCTGACAGAGAAACTAGAAGGGATAATGGATTTAATGGCATGTGTTCTAATGGAAAAAAATAACCTATTTCATGAGCCTGTCATATCTGAAAAAAATGTGGCTACCATTTGCAGTTCATATAGGGACAAAAAGGTTTATACACTAGCAGTATATAAATCACTGAAAAGAGTAAGTTGAGATCTTTATAGTAGCAGTGATATATTTTCCCTTGTGGAAACCCTAGCCCAATTTTGTATCTACAGAATCTCTGGCACAAGGGGCTGACCTACCTCAAACACCCAGTGCTGGGGAAGGATGCGTCCTATGTGGAGACACTCAGCCTCTCTGAGCAAACACCCATTGAGGAACAAGCACGAAACCTCTGTCTTCATTTACTACTGGGTAACACAGGGATCTCATAATTTAGCCTACTAGGCTGCTGTGGCTGTCATTTAAAGTATGTTCCCAAGCATGGTAAGGACAGGGGACCTAAATCAAAAACAAGAATTTGACCAGTGGCCAGTGAGCTGGAAAGTTAAATGTTCCTAGTGCAGATGTGTCTCGTGGGAATCCACATGTGTGCCTACCATTCAGCTGGCAACTAAAAGGCAGAACAGGATGTGGCCGCCTTCTTCGTCCCTTTTCTTGACCAGGCTGTGGATCTCCATGAGGACACTTGATCAAGGCTAACATCCCTATTGCACTTGTTTTGCAGGTTCAAAAGTTGTGAGGGGAATAAAAGAGAAAAGAAAGGTAAGGGTTTGAAATTATAGTGAAATGAACAATCTTGAGTTCATGTTCCCATGCCTTTTGATTTAAGGCTTTAGATAATGAAAAGGTGGCTAAGGAGCAAAGTGCTGATATATGAGCCAGGTCTCCAGATATGATGGCCAAGTGCGCAGTCCATTTTGGGGATGGAGGGAGGGAATGCACAAGAACAGGAACTCTTACCTAAGCTCTCCCCATATTCTGGGCTGCTGGGTTCAGGGTCAGCCCTCAGGCAAACATTAGATCAACCCTTAGGCTACCTTGCTAAGAGACAGATCCCTCTGCAAGTGCAAGATTACTCCCAAAAGAACGTTATTGACTTCTGCATTCAATTTGGGTTTAAATGATTCATGTACTAATTGAACTTCTACTACTTTCCAGCTGAAATATCATTTGACGTACCTGTTAGGGTGCTCAATATTGTTCCAGTGTCCTGACTATTCTCAGTATAAATTTGTAAACTGTATTGCTTATGCTAAAAAAGGACAGCAGAAAATATACTACAGTTTCAGTTATTTAAACTGCTATGCTGATAGCAGCTATTAGTCACCTTGCGAATTCATAGAATCAGCTGGGTTGGAAGGGACCTCCAAGATCATCAAGTCCAAACCTTGATCCACTTCCACCACAGTTACTAGACCATGGCACTAAGTGCCACATCCAGTCTCATCTTAAAAACCTCCAGGGATGGAGAATCCACCACTTCCCTGGGCAGCCCATTCCAATGCCTGATTACCCTCTCTCTAAAGAATTTCTCCCTGATACCTAACCTAAACCTCCCCTGGCAGAGCTTAAGACCATGCCCTCTTGTCTTGCTGATAGTTGCCTGGGAGAAGAGACCAACCCCCACCTGGCTACAACCTCCTTTCTGGGAGTTGTAGAGAGGGATGAGGTCTCCCCTGAACCTCCTCTTCTCCAGGCTAAACAACCCCAGCTCCCTCAGCCTCTCCTCACAGGGCTTGTGCTCCAGACCCTTCACCAGCCTTGTTGCTCTTCTCTGGACCTGCTCCAGCACCTCAATATCCTTCCTGAACTGAGGGGCCCAGAACTGGACATAGTACTCCAGGTGTGGCCTCACCAGCGCTGAGTACAGGAGAAGAATCACTTCGCTGGTCCTTCTGGCCACACTGTTCCTGACACAGGCCAGGATGCCACTGGCCTTGTTGGCCGCCTGGGCACACTGCTGGCTCTTGTTCAGCTTCCCGTCAATCCAGACTCCCAAGTCCCTGTCTTCCTGGCTTCTCTCCAGCCACTCTGTCCCCAGCCTGTAGCGCTGCAGGGGGTTGTTGTGGCCAAAGTGCAGGACCCGGCCCTTGGCCTTGTTGAACCTCATCCTGTTGGAATCAGCCCAACTCTACAGCCTGTCCAGATCCCTCTGAAGAGTGTTCCTGCCTTCCAGCTGATCGACACTCCCCCTCAACTTGGTGTCATCTGCAAATTGGCTGATAATGGACTCAATCCCCTCATCTAAATCATCAATAAATATATTAAATAGAACTGGGCCCAACACTGATCCCTGGGGGACACCACTACTGACTGGCCACCAACTGGATGCAGCACCTTTCCCCACCACTCTCTGGGCCCAGCCCTCCAGCCAGTTCTTAACCCAGCACAGAGTGCCCCTGTCCAAGCCGTGGGCTGCCAGCATTTTCAGGAGAATGCTGTGGGAGACAGTGTCAAAGGCCTTGCTGAAGTCCAGGTAGACCACATCCACAGCCTTCCCCTCATCCACCAGGCAGGTCACCTGATCATAAAAGGGGATCAGGTTGTCATTGTATAATTCACCACCACCACCACCAAAAGCCAAACTAGCGGCTGCAGAGCAAATTCTGCTGATTGAATTTGCTGTGTGAGAGTGATTGGGTAAATATAATGCTGCAGCTTATTTTTTCAAACAACAAAACTACGGAATGCTTCAATGCACCAATGCAAATTGGTAGAAACCAGAACCTAGAACAAACTGGTATTAATATTCCCCAGTGATTTACTTGTTCAAATGCCCTGGTTCATGATAGTAATAGAAAAAATTACAGTATGTGATCTTCTTCTGAACAATTTGCTAAACCCCAGAATACTTGAAGGATAAGGTAACAAACGAAGAGGAGAGTGATTTAAAGGATCCCTGCTAGAATCACTTCAACAAATATTCAGTTGACTGGTGGGACCGTATTTCCAGCAAGTATATACTTATTGAAAGAACATCTTCTTTCCCTCTTTTGTTTGTGTTGGTTTTTTTGTTTGTTTGGGGTTTTTTTTGTTATTGTTTTTGGTTTTGTTTTTTTTTTTTTTTTCATATATTTAATGCATCCTAAACCACTTTGTTGTATTTGGGCACCTCATCTTTACAAGCATTCATTTGTGCCACAAGATGTTTGCCACAGATCCCTTTCTTTCCAATAGTTACTTATCTTTTCCCAGGGTGTAGGTTTGTTGTATTGGTGTCCCAAATGGTGATAAAGTGTAGAACAACTAAACTAACCTTTAAAACCTCAGTCAGGGAGATGGCCCCAGTGTCATCTAGTGCTTGTCCTGAAGAACTAAGGGGACACTTGTTGAAATAATGAGACAAAAACCTCAAAGGACTAGAAAAACATTTTCAAAATGTCCTGACATCTTCCTCTATTCTTTCTTCAGAAAGGAAGGTCAGATCTAGATTTGTGCAATACTGTATTTGGCCTTATGCATTCTGCCAAATTCGGTGTGAACTTCAGTATGAGCCGATGGGTTTCAGTATGAGACTGAGCTCCAGACCTTGGCCCCTCTCCCACTCAGAGGAAATGTTCATCTGACCCTCCAGGGTTTATGGGAGCTGGACATGTCTTGGGGAACAACACAGGCCAATTTTTTGTTTAATTGTTTATTCCTCCTCTAGAGGACAGAGGTCAGGAAATCATCTGACCACAAATGCTGAATGACTGCACAACCCTAGTTTGCATGTGTTGCTCAGAGATGATCAAGGCAAAATACAGATTACATTAACTGAAAGATAAACACATAGAGGTCAATCAGCTTAAAGCACTGACATTATCAGGAGAATCTGTTGTTCTTTGTCTTATGCCTTACACAACTGACAAAGAGACAACATATGCCCTTCTTCCAAATAAACTGTATAAAATTATATTGAGTTTTACAGGTATATTAATCTTAGCAGCCACACTAAAGAAAAAAAACCCCAAACACCACAGAAATTAAATGAACAATTTTGAACCAGTTTGATGGTCCCTTCATTTTATTATAACACACATCACTTTCATCAAAGGAAATCACATCTTGAAGAACTGATTCAGTAGAATTTCCACCTAATTGTGTGTTTCAAAATGATTTAAACCTGAGATTAAGTGATCTGATGAATTGGAGCTTTATGTACCACAGCACTCCTGAGCATGCTGACAAAACACTGGAAAAGGAAAGTAGAAATATATTTGGTCTTCCAAAAAGACTTTTTTATTCTATTAAGTAAGTCAAAAGTTATAAGGCTGAAGGTAAGAAACAGTTTTTGTTTTGTTTTTTTTCTCTCAGTAAAAGGCAAAAAAAAAAGAGAAATATGAACAAATGAGAATTTCAGCACAGTTAAAAGGACAAGTAAGAAAACACCACTTATATTTCTTGGTGATATGAAAATGGGAGCATAGGAGAGGAAGAAAACTGTAATTATTATCTTTGAAAACTATGGTAGTAAAACTAAAAAAAGTTTACCCTGAGGAAAAAGCGGAACAGCTCATCAGAATGGGATATTTTATCTATAAATATATTTGTCTCCCATCTCACCTCCATGTGATGTCCACTTTTCATCTCTGAGACTCAGCATGTTTGTTAGATGGCTACCTTGCTGACCAGCATTGATGGGGGTTCCCACAGGTGGGGAGAGCTGTGGCAGTGCAGTGGCCGTGAAGTGTTGGACCATACTGCAGTCCAGCACCCAGTGAAGCCCTTATGTAAGGAACAGTCTTTTCTACTTTTACCTTTGTTTAATGTATTCCTAAAAATTGTATGCAATTGTAACCATTAGGGAAGTCCAGGACCTGAAGGATGCATACAGCTCCTGCCTCCAGTTCTACAGTATTTTTCTCTGACTTTACTCATTAACTCAATGCCACTATTGACAGTCCCTATTTTTCATATCTTTCTGACCAAAGATAAAACAGAGATTTTTAAATTTGCTACTTTCGATATTTGACTTATTCATGTTAAGATGTCAGATGGATATTAATAATCTAATTTTTTAGGTTACAACCTAAATGTTTCATAAGAACTTCACAGACTGAAGATTTGTAGAGGAGATGAATAAGAAATCGAGATACCATATTTCTAACACATAACCCTCATACACATCAGCACACAAAATAACCCACAGCTCCAATTCACTTTAGTGGGACAAAAGCAATCTAAAAGAGAAGTAAAAACTTCAGCTTACTAGAAAGAATTGAGCTGTGATGTATATTGATGTTCAGACCCTTCAGAATTATATTTTTGATAGAAAAGGTTCAGTTGCAAAAGTTTTAGACATTTATTTATTTTAAGTGTGTATATTTGTGAGATTATTTAATAAAGTATGTGGTTATGTTGCATACACATATGAATTATATTTGTTTATATGTTTATATTACATTGATTAACTGCCATACACACATAAAGGCTGGCACAATGTTTTAGGAATTCTTAGCAGATTCAACTTCTTGGTTCTCTGTCAATTATATAATAAATATTGAATTATTCCAGCTGCTTTATCAGCTTTAGGAAGAAACTACCACTTGGCAGTATCATTTTACATGTTATGTATACCCAAACTTAGATAGCCAAAATAAGATTAATGTGTCTTCCTTCTTCCACAGTTGTAGAAAGATATAAAACAATGCTCTTGGTATTCAGGAGGGTATATTAAAATGCAAAAAATCCTCTATTGGTTATTTGATCTTGCACACTACAAATACAGTAGTTACAATATCTGTGAAGATCTAAGTGACCGTATTACACTTAACTTGTTTAGCTTAATTAAAAAAATAGATGTAAACAGTTTTTAAAATTGTAATCAAAAAGCTCACCAAGAATTGCTTTATTTTATCATTGAACTTCATAGCCAGTTCCCATAACTTAGACTTTGGGGACAAATCTGAACATTTAAGGCACAAAGAGAATAGGGCAGATGACATCTCAGAGAAGAAAAAGCTGATACAGCAATAGAGTACAAGTATAACAGGATTCAAAAATGACCTTCAAAAATGTGTCACAGAATAAATTTATAGATTATTAAAATGTAAAATCCCAGACAAACCACAAGTTTCTTTAGATTTCTCTCAGAGTCAAATTCCTATAGCTGTTTTTAGCTTTGGTTTTCTGTTTGTTTTCTTGTTGTTTTTCCTTAACTTCTGAGGTGCTGGAACTGGCATCTCCATTCCTGACCATCGCAACAGGCAATAGGTGCTCAGAAGGTCTGAAAAACAAAAGCCACCTGATTTCAAAAGGGAAACATACATATTGAAGCAAGTAGAATATGCTATGCCAAGAATTTGCTGATTTTATAATAAAAAAGTAATACAATTACATAGCACACTAAAAAACTTAAATAAGTGGTGCTTTAACAGTGAATTTATAAAAAGTTATACTTTAAGAAATCAATCTCATTCTGTGATAAACCACTATTTATTATAATAGATGTGACACAGGTTTATATAGATAGACAAATACTGCTGATATAAAACCAATCCAATAGGCTTTACAGGATGTTCATTTTCTTTGCAGATATTGTATTGCAGACCACATGATTTCCAAAATCTCTGATATGAATTCAGTACCATCATGTGAACCAAATATTATTCTCTTAAACGACCAGAATCCAGTCTAAATCAAGAAGGTTTTAATACCTTGTTTCCTCTTCTTATGTTGGGAATTAGTCCATGAACTACCTTTGAGTCTTTCTGTTGTATAAATTATTCAAAAATGCCATTATTTTTCTGTGAAATCAGGGCATTTGCCCCAGATATAAGCTACAGGGGATCTCTTTAGGATTCCTCCCTTACTTCTCAAGAATGTAACACTGAAAGAAGAGCATGTGAAGCACTCTTGCAGCTCGCCAGTGCTTCTTCTGGACTGGTAGGAAGTGATGAGGTTTTATTTCAATAATACTCCAAAAATTGGTTAGACAACAACCAAGGAGCCTCATGTCTATGCAGAGAGTAGTCTATTGCAGTGAGTCAACCTATTAAGAAACATTTTCTCTGATTATTGCACTCCCAATCTCTTTCTGCAATCTCAACATTATGAGCAGAAAAGCTTTTTTACAAATGGTCAAGAAAGTATGGAACTTTTACTTTTAAGTCTGAAATTTGCTCTGAAGCTGGACTCCATTTTTTGTTTGTTGTCAAATGTCATTACATCAGGTTGCTGCTTTTACTTTGTAATATATGTTCATATCTCTGTGCAGTTCTTCCAAAACTAGTATTCCTAACACCTAAAATAATTCAACCAGCTCCTAAAGCTGAGGACCTGCTTTCAGTAATCACATCAGAAAGCTGCTGATATGCAACCAACATTAATTGGGATGCTTTGGAACAGGCTCAGTAAAAGTGAAAAAGTGAAAGGTTGTGTTAACCTTACTTACAAAGACAGAGTCACACAGATATGACCATTGTGTGGCCAAACTTTTCTGCTCTACTTCTGTACATCAAAGAAACTTCCCAAAGATTTTTGGTATTTTAAATGAAGATTACTAGTTTAATTATTTTAATGTATTTATTTATTATTTAAACAAAAGCAGCAGAAGACATTTTTACTGCTGTCCTAATTCTGGAGAATTTTCTTACAGTTAGTATAAACATACTTACATTCAAGTGTGGTTAGTATTATTCTATGAATTAAGCCTTTAACTTGAGGTCTTCTGTCTGTAAAATGTGATTATTTTAAATTAAAGAATGACCCAAACAACGCTTGAGACTAAACTGAAATGTTTTATAAAATGTGTATATTGATTTTAACCAAATGCAATCTTTTTAGATAAAAAGACTCTTTGATCCATATTCAGTGCACCAAGAACTAACTTTCCTGACTTTGATTATACAAAGACATAGAGAAGATCTTGTCAGATATGAAATACAAAAGTGAGAAGAGTGGAAAAATGAATGAAGTGACATAACACTGGTTGAACTTTGTTGTCCTTGCTGTACTATACTAGAACAAACACTTTTTACTAATACAATGGAACAGCTCAACAATTTTCAGGCAGAAAGACTACACGAGGGAAAATTCAATAAGTTAAGAATACCAAACTGTAATCGGACCTTGGGGAAGAAGCAGTATTGAAACACAACTTTTTTTGACAGTTTTGAGTGTAGCTCTGGTGGTCTGTTTCAAAAACTGTCAAAATGATGATAAGTGGTCTTGGGAGTCTAGTTTTGATTCTTACACCAAATAATCTGGCTGCCTTCTTGGTATTAGTGCTGTTAGCAATTTAAGAAGTCTGATTTTTGAAGAAGAAAAGATGCTAAAATGGAAAAATTACTGTGCTGAATGTAGAGTAATTACATTTCATGACATCCTCATTTAAATCAATAGGATTGACTAATTAAGACATCTAAGCTGAAATCAATCGGATCTAACAGCTAACACCTCCCTACAGCAATAAACCAGAATCAACAATTTTGCATCTATACTGATGTGAAAATTAGCCAATCCTATTTTGATTGTTATTCAGTACTTAATGTTTTCCTGAACAACTAAGCCATTTCGTAGCTTGTATATTCCCCATATTCCAAAATAAAAGCTGATTAAATTGATATACATTCTACCTTGCAGTGCACACTTGCAGCTTGTTACAAAAGAGCCTTGATGGACCTGATGTTTGTGTTCTCATTCCTAAGATACCAGTGGGTCAAAAAAGGCAATTAAAATGCATGTCATGGCCAGGAACACCAAATACAGAGACAGCAACCCAGAATGAGACAATTCTTTCATCATTGAGACTTTAATGGGAAAGTCTTTGTGTTGGTAGTTTCCTGACTTGGTTCTTCCTCTGAGGGTTTTCTCTGCCTTCCCTCAAGTTTTTAGTTTTTCTTCAGGATTTCTGATGATCTATGCAAAGTCTGTGCTACATTACTCCTGAAATTATCCTCAGTGCACAGGGGGACAGGTTCATGGAAATCATGGCACCTTGAGGCTTTCTGGAGTTGGAAAGGAGAGAGAGGTAATGAAAGAATCAAAATACACTGTGTGCTATCAAATAGACATGCAGCCTAAGGTTTGTTTCTTCTGCCAGTTAGAGTCCAGTTGAAGTTCGCGTTTCTTCTGAATTTCTAGGCAGAAGTGATAGTCAATGTTTTCCTTCTTTATTTTGCATTTCAGGCTGTGACTGTCCTTCAAACCACGCTGATGAGCATGATAGCCTTCAATAAAGCAAGCATAATCCATTTGACATTACACATAAATGACCTTGAAGACAGATCAGGAAATTCAAGGAGAGCAGAACATGTCAGAAATGTCTTCTGAATCATACTGTTGTCTCTAGAATTCACTTAATATCTGTTCATTTCCTGATACTTTCCCTTCCAGTTGTTGTTGGGTTTTGGCAAATTTTATTTTCTTGTTTAATTCATGGCCAAATGAATATTGTCGGTTTTAATGTAGTTATGCATAGCAGAGTAGAACCGTGTCTTCCAATGACTGTAAAGGTCACAGTAAGTAGCTATTTGAAGACATATTAAAAGCTCACTGAGGACCGTATGTATGATTCTCTTTCTCTCAGCTACAGGTACATTTATTTGGAGGTCAAGCACCAATTTAAGCATGCTTTCATGTGACCTATGTACTTCAGTGCATGAATTTTCAAGATAAATCTCAGAAATTTTTAAGAACCCAAAGCAGCATCCTGTCCCAATTATACATAAAAAAAACCCAATCCAAAATACAGTATAAGTTGCAATCTTTCATATCAAACTCTCTCTTCATAATTTCTAAGCCAAAGTACTTCCATAATATCTTTTCCTTCATTTGATAATGTGATCTTAAATTTTGCAATACCTCATTTCATTTCCTCCAAAGCATTTTGCAGATGCCTAGATATCAACAAAAAAAGAGATGTTATATAATTCACGTCGGAAAAGAATTGAAGAACACATGCCCTAAGCAAGTAGTAAGTCTTAATATTGGACATACTACAAATTTACTGTAGGTACAACTTTCCTTCCAAGTAATTTCTTAGTAACTGTGTGCAATATTTGATTTGAGAAAAATTAAGCAGTTTAAATTCGAGATGTGTTCAATGTTATATCCTGAACCGGGCTGTCAAGAACATCCTTGAGAGTGGCTGTTTATCTTATTTATGTAATGTCTTCCACAACTTTATTCAAATCAATAGAATTTTCCTATTGGATCAGGGCCCAGAGAGTTTAGTCACCTCTGCTGATCTCACTTGCAGCAACATGGCTAAGAGGGACAAGATGCCATTCAGGCTGAAAGTTCCAACCCACTTCGGAAACCACACTAAACCTAACTTAATGTCCTCTGAAATGTTATTCTCTGCAACCACCACCACCACAAAACAAATAAAAAAGAAACTTTGCAATGTTATTCAGCAAATTGCAGCATTTTCCTCAAAGCTTTGGCTACAAAGGAGACAAAAAGGAGGCGAATGTGAAAAGATTTTAGATTAGCAAAATTTTGAGTTGGTAGGAGACAAATTGCATTGTAGCTAATGACAAGAAATGCCATAACAGGTTTGTCTTAGCAAAAGAGAGTCTCATACATGGGCTATGGTCACTTAGAAGCAATTTTTTCCAATACATGTCTTTGGTAAATGACCTGGTAGGTCTTACGTTCCTCAAAAAGGGCTTTAAATAGTTCTTAGGTAAAATCCTCTATATCACTGTCCAAGGCCATGTAGGAGGATACAGACAGAGGTGTGTAACACCTAACACTTGCTCAGAACAGACACATTGCTTAGAATTGGAGCTAATTAAGCACACATCTGAAAGATGTATCTTGAGGAATTTTTTTGACTTGTGTATCCATCACAAGAGTGAATGTATGCTAAGGTCACTTCCCTTGAGGTGGGAAAAACTGGATTCAGAGCCCTTTTCTGCTTTTTTCATGGCAGTGATCTAATGTAAGGTCATCCATGTGATAGATGAATATTGCTGGAATAAAGAGATACTCCCTTTTTTCTTACTAAATCATTTATAAAGCCTGGAATAACACCAATAAAATAAATTTACACTTCAAGTCAAGTATTTTGCAATTAAGGTACTCACATGAAAACTGGCAGACCTATGCTGAAAATTCTTGATCTAGCTCCAGCAGCAGCAGAACTTCATTGCAGACCTCTCTGTGAGTGCTTTAGACTTCAGTTTACTCTATGCTCTTTCTGTCATTTTTTTGCAAAAGGGCAAACCAAGTTTAGGTTCATGAGTTTCATGGAAGGTTAATGACTGAGGGTTTGATAAT